GACCTAACATTCTAACTGCCACAAAAATACCAGCAGTTGCTCACTTTTGCATCAAGCTGGAGGAAAGGAGCAAGAACATCAGCAAGGGTGCAGCACCGTCAATCCAATCTCCACCTTTCCACTCGGGTAACTTTGTCCTGTGGGCTCCTCAGTAGCTATTAAAAAATCAGTTTCCCATCCTGCTTGTAAAAATCAGGCATTAGGCTGCAACTATCACAAGAAGGAAGACAGGTGGATAAATGAGAGGAATAAAAGTAGATCAAGTCCAGACTGGAAAAGAGAAATTAAAATTGGGTTTATAGGTGAGAGTGAAGAAGAGGAGCATTTGCAGCAGTGTCTGGAAAGTGAAGGACAGGGGTTTATGCAGCAACGAGGGACCTGCTGTCTGCTGCCACACACCCATTGACTCTTTGGGGCATTTTGTTCTACAATATGACAGAAACATTCCAAGAGCCTCCAGGCTGCTGTCCCACACTGTTTCAGCTTATTTACCTCCAGCCACCAGTTTCAGCAAAGCTCACCAACTACACAGGCAAGTTTTTCCACTTTCCCAATCCTTGTTCCACTGTGCAGCCACATTCACTGAGAGGCAGCTTCAGCCACACGGGAGCGTGTGCCCTCAGAGGTGGCTCTCCCTTTGCCCCAAGTGTGGGGGGACAGTCAGTCAGCTCCCTGCTTGGGGTCCAGCCCTTCCACAGCGACTCTGTGCTGTGTGTCTTACCTAGCTCAGCAAAAGCAGCACGTGGCACCTGGAAGATGAAGCTCCCCTCTCTTGAGGTGCCCAGAGAAATACAACACAACTTCTTGTTCCCCAGCCCGCAGAGGACAGGGCAGGGGCCGAAGCAGGAGCTGCAGCCTGGTGACAAAGCTGCCGACACAAACCTTCTCCCAAAGCCACCACAGCCCCAGCAGCTTCCAAAGCACATGCCACCACACAATGTACCCAAAACAGGCAAGGAAGAGCTACAGCAGTCCCCAGGGCAGCCCCACAGCTACTACCTGAACAACACACTGTGGTGCTCTGGGGAACAGGTATACACCTGCAGGGCTTTTTTTTTTTTCAGATAGTTATATGAAAAAAGTGACTAGCTGACAGGATAATGCAAAATAATCGATTTTATTTAAAATAAAAAGCAAAACCACAATCATCCAAACAAGACAATTAAGAGTTTCCCAGCTCTGCTGGATGGGGTGACAAAAGCAGCTAACGGCAGCGGCAGGGCCCGGAGCTGACAGCGTGACTGTCCAAGGGAGCAGCTAAGCTCTTTCCTTCCCCCCCCTCGGGGAGGATGCCAGACCCCTCCTGCCCCTGCCCCAACCGGCCCACGCAGGCAGTTCGGATTCCACTCAGCCAGCACCCCGGGGTGGCTGGGGATTCGGGGAGGAAGAGGGGCTCGGTTAATTCTCAAAGAGGTTGCTGTCTGTCTGCTAAGCATTTGGAGAGGCTTAATGTAACTGAGAAGACAAACTGGAGCCAGTGCTCCCGAGCTGGAGCGGGTAGGAAGGCACGTCAGAGCTTCCTCAGCATCACCTGCTCCCCAGCTCCTGTGCAGGGAGCAGGTCCCAGCGCGGTGTGCCCGCTGCTCACCCACCGTTCCGGTGGGGGGTTTGTTGGTCTACTCCTGTGCTGTCCTACCCGACAAGCCCCTGCTGGTTCCACCACGCTCCAAGCGTGGCCAGAGCTCACCAATCTCTTCACCTTCCACCAGAGCAGGCGGGACAATGACACTGGTATGCAGAGTACAGCTGGAAAGCCCAGAGCCCAAACGCGGCTCCTGGAACCCGTGGCAGTGAACAGGGCAGCCCACCCAGCGTCACCCCCGTGGGGCTGAGGCAGAGCAGAGCTGCTGCTGCTGCAGGCCCACGGGCTCTGGGTGCTGGAGCACAGCCTGCTACCTCCAGGGGCTCCACAGCACCCAAAAGCAGCAGGGCTGGAACAAGAGACAAGGACGCCCCGAGAAGCACAAGCCTGGAGAAGTGAGAGCACAAAAGCCACTCGCCACAGTCAGCTTCCCACAAGCCTGGAGCTAGGCACGAGGGGAGCAGTTTTAGCTTTATTCCTCATTCACCTGGCCAGAAGCAAGGGCCTGGGAAGCTCCAGCTCCACCCCCACCCCCTTCCTGCAAGGCCAATGAAGCTGACTCCCTGATTAGAGAATTTAATCTAGGCCTATTTTTAAAAAGTCCCGATCTAGCAGGACCTCCCGTTTAGAGCAGGCCATGAAAATGCCAACAGTTAAACTCCAGTGAAAACAAAAAGCCTTGTTTTGCTGCAATTTCTGTACCACACAGCAATTCTGGAAGGGCCACCACAGAACACCACGTGGCCAGGAGTGCTGGATAACATCCCCCGTGTTTTCTGCTACAAAAAGTTAACACCAGGTTAGAAAGTCTCAGGTTGCTTAGAATGTCTGGAGCACTTTTTATGGGAGGACTACTTCAAAACATCTTGCACAGTAATTCCACCTCAGCCACACAACACCCCGGTGAGGCAGGTATTCTCCTCATCTGCTCAAACAAAGAGAGAGGCTCACCACTGTGGCTGAGGCAAGAGCCTGTAAGTGGAAGAACCAGAGATCCCAGGAGTCACAATTCCCAGGTGGCCTGAACAGACACCTTTGTCTTTGTTTCCCATTGGCACATGCCTCGTGAAGAAGTCAGTGTAGCACTGCAGCCCGTTCCAAACGTGCTGCTTTGCTGCAAGGCATGCCAAACCAACACAGGCTTCCACCTGGAACGGGTGTATGTCACACCACACAGGAATACTCTGCACTCTGGACCCTCCTCAGTGCTCCTGCTGAGAGCTGGGGCTTCCCTGGCAGTGACCTGGCTGTCACACACAAACTCAGCCCTGCATGCCAAATGCAACTGCAAGCTACAGCACAAGCCACCTCACTGAAACACCATCAAGCCACCAAGGAGGGCAGGGGACAGTCCTCCAAGGCTCCCCGCACTGTGACAGAGCTGGGACTCCT